GTAAAAACAATTAACAACCAGATTCTGCTTGCCCAAAAATAATCTATATGAGGAATCTCTCCGAGTTAAATCGGGTACTTGCAGATCTGGGGGTAGGCTTAAACGATAAGCTAGTAAGTCAACTCTACTAATAAACTTATATACGAGTGCATAATCTCTCTATAAGGAAAATCTATACTAGTAAAAGTGAATAGTGTTTTGTGTCCAAACATAATTTTTACTTGGTTTCCTACTATTCTGTTTTTGGATAACTATTCTGTTGCCAAATAATTATGATTTTAATTTATATTTACTAAATAAGTTAATTTAGTCTAATATTAATAAAATAATATATTTTTAATTTTAATTTTAATATAAATTCGAAAATTTAGTTTTTAATTTAAATGTGTTATAAATTTCCTTAAATATAGGTTATATTATCAAAAATTATAAAATAAATTATTATTATATTTTTAAAAATAAAAACCCAATATTAACTTAGATTAAATTTAAATATTCAAATTTAAATAATTCTTTTAATGACAGGAATGAAAATAATATATTATTATATTTTTAATTAAATAAGATTAAAATTTAAATATTTAAAATATACAAATAATATGAACAGATATGCTAAATATTTTAATAATTTGGGTTTTATATTAATATAAATAAATATGTTATAATAATATTTTTTAATTGTGATATTTTTCAAATTAATAGCCACAGACGACTTATAATAATATTTTTCTAATCACAATCATATATAATATTAAAAAAGCTAAATCAATAGAAACAAATTTTATTTAAAAAGAAGATTTTTTTATCAATTATTAAAATATATATATATATATATAAACAAAAATAAAAATTATATTACATAAATAAAAATTAGTTCTCGTGCGAACGCACTGGATAGAATCTAGTGGTAATTAAAATAATGATATAACGTGTTTTTCTATAAAAATAAAAAATTAAAAAAAAATACAAAAGTTTCATTATTAAACCCAAAAAAACACAAACTTGTCCAAATCATTTCAGATACTCAATACAATAACGCAATGCACAATCGTTCTTTTTCTTTCTGGGCTGCTATCCGCAATTAGACTAAGTCTCCTATTTCAAAGCTTACTTCTTCTCAACCTAGATCATAGTTAAAACTTATATTGTCGTTTTGAGCATTCCTTAGATTTGATTAAAGAAACTTGACCTTTGCAAGAGCTTCATCAACAAACTGGGTTCCTACAAGATTTTGGTAAACTACTTTGGTTAAACATAATTGTGATGACACATTCTTCTAAAGCAAGTTTCGTATACATTCCTATGCTTCCATGATAGCTATTGTTTTAAGAGAAATCCAAGATGAATCACCAGAGTTAAATAACTTGACTAGAAAGGTACTTTGGGTAATCCAAAAAATCACAAGATCAAGTGATAGTTAGGACGAAAAATAATATTAAAAATTGATCCAAAACCACTTAGTTTTCCAAAAAAAGAGAAATTCACGATGAATCGATGTTGATTTCAAGATCCGGATAACCAAAAAAGTATCATTTAAACAATGTAAAGCCCTTCTTCAATGCCTTGGCTAGACTTGTATTCCTTTCTTCTCATATTTTCTATTGAAAATCTTAGTTAAAAAAAAACCGTTTTTCAAAAAAAAAAAAAAAAAAACCATTGTAACATAATTCTATATAATGAAATGAGTAATGGTAGTTTTAAACCTACGAAAATGGATATAAAGACAACGACGATCTCCCTTTTTGTCAATTATGTAAGGTCAGTTAAAAAAGGAATTGACTTGGGAAATAATAATTTCATGGAGAATTAGTTTCAACAAAAAAAAATAATGAAACATAACGTACGGGAATGCACAATTATGTCGACATTATGAACTTGGGTAAACCTGAAAGAAAAGCCGAGAGTATCAAACAATTATAACGAAGTTACAAAATGTTGGACTATAAATAGATCACCACACATATGGATATGTATAGAACTCACAAAAGTTTAAGAGCAAGCTAGCAAAGCAAAACAAAGAAAAAGAAATGGCGAAGAACCTCAACTCCATCACCTACACCGTTCTCTTGCTTGTCCTCTTGGTGGCTTCCACTGGTATTTAATTTAACAAAGTTCTCTATTAATTATATTTTGCAGTTTTCTTTTAGTTATCTTGTGCTGATGAATATGTCAACATGTAGAAATCCTCAAGATCGAGGCTAAGCGCAGCACCAAGGGTAGATGCCTTCCAAGAGGATGCACGAATCCAGTGTTCTCCGAGGAGTGTGGGCCGGAGCCGTTCACAGGTTCCAACAACGATTGCTGTCACTGTTGTATAGCCAAATACGGGAAAAAATCAGTCTGCAAAGGTGTTGTTGAGGGATCCGCCAAACATTGCCATTGCTACAAAGAAAGCGTTTGAAATAACTTCATATGGTGCCAAGTTTCAATTTTGTATTCATTCGGTGTGAGGACATTACATTGGTGTATGTTTATGTTCATGTTTCTTTTGCTTCCAAATAATACATCGAGGGCAAAGCTTATCACTGCTAGCCCCCAAGTGTAAGCTCATGTTGTGTGCACTTTTGTTTCATGCTAAACTCATTTTTTTGTTTGTTTTTTGCTTCAAAATATCATCCCCGCTATTCTTTCACAACTGAAATTCTCAATAAACATTTGACCACATTTGGAGGTCTTGACCACATATTGATTAAAAATTTGCTTATTCTCCAATTACATTATTTGTAAATAACAAAGAATGTCAAGTAAATGTTTCTCTTCATTCTATCACTCAGATAGTAGTATAGATCGTCATATATATCTTAAAAAAGAGTTAAGATTAAGTATAGTATACTAATGTATATTATAATAATATAACTACAAAATATGAAATAGATATGTATAAAACTGATATGATAAAATCTTAGTTAAAGGAAATAATTATTACTGAATTTTTGAAATAATCATATTTTTGAGATATTATTAAGTGAATAAAACATATATGCCATATATAGAGTGAGTAACAAAACATGAGACTGAGAGAAGAAGATATTTCAGAAAGAAAACGAAAAAAAAAATAGAATTTTAACATCAAGAAACAAAAGATGTTTAATAATATACTATTTAACTTTCCCGTGCCTTGCGCGGACTGATATAATATTCATTTGATTGTTTGAAAATTTATTAATAGTTTGGATTCATTTGTTTTTTATTCTTGAGTATATTTGTTTGTTAGATTTTCTTGCATTTTAATGTTGGAAGATATGATTGTGAAAACAGTATAGAATAGAAAAGAGTAGATAAAAACATAGTAGTATCTAAATAATTTAGTTTAAATAGTTTTGAGATCTTTTGTTCACTGTTCTATGTAGTTTAGACGTAATTTTTTGAAGTATCATATGAACTAATTCGATTTTGATCACTGTTTTATGTGTTTTAAATATCATAAATACTGTAATTTCACTAATTAAATTTTTTTGCTAAATTTAAGTTTTTTCTTATTTTAAAACGACATTTCATTACTTTTTAAATAGTTTCTATTTTTTGTTTCTTTTAGCATTTTTGTTAGATTTTTTTTCTAATTTTCGGAAACATAAGAAATGGTAAACACTAAAAGATATAGATTCCATTTTTTTATAAAAAACGTTTTTGTTAAAAAAATTAAATTTTGGTTATATATAATTTTAAAAACAGTTTGATTGACTATGAAATTAAACATTAAATCATAATAATTTATACCGGTTTGTTTTAAGTTTTTTTTACACATCATCAAAAAAGAACCAATAAAAAATGACATATAATTGCAAAATAGGGCTAACCGGTCATTTTACAGCTGAAATTCATTCTAAAGCTGACACGTAAACGAAATGTTGTGAAAATTGCTGTGAGCATGACACATAAACAAATCACTACACAAATAAGTATATAGATTTTATCATTTTAATGTCATTTTGAGTTAAATTAATAATACGTATGTATACGTATGTAGGAGTGTAGGATCCTAACCATATTAAATTATTTATTTATAAGAAAAACTACCTATAAGAACATAATTCTCAGTGTTAAATTTAAAATGACATAAAATATCTTGTTAAACATCTTTTCTTTCCTGATGTCAAAAGCACACATTTTTTCGTTCTCTTTTTAAAATGTCTTCTCCTGTCAGTCTCAGGTTTTGTTTTCCTTTGATCTCTTCATCCATCTTAATTTAATCTTGAAAGATTTTAAATTATGATATATGCGAAAAAATCTATATATTGTTTTTAGTAAGATTGTGAAGTTTGATTAAATTTAAGCAAATAAAGATGTGTGGCTTAAGAAAGTTAGTGCCGTAAAGAAACGATAATGAGAGGTTGAACTTGAAGAAATGAGTATTTTTCATCTGAACTATATTTTGGCATATAATTAAGTGAATAACACACATATATATATATGTGTGTGTTATTCACTTAATTATATGCCAAAAGATGATTATTTCATAAATTCTCCCATAAGAATTTCCTTTAACTAGCATTTTATTATATTAGGTTTATACATACCTATTTCATATGTTGTATTTATAGTATATTAATATGCTATACTTAATCTTAACTTCTTTTAGAAATATATGACCTCTATACTATTATGTGAGTGATAGAATTAAGAGAATAACATTTATTTGGCATTCTTTGTTATATCACAACAAAATGTCACTGGCGAATAAGCAAATTTTAATCAATAATATGGTCAAGACCTCCAAATGTGGTTAATGTTTGTAGAGAATTTCAGTTCTGATAGAAATTTGAATATAAGAGGGGAAGAAATTAAATGGCATGGAGAGCACAAACAGAAAATGAGCTTAGCATTCAGAATGAAACAAAGGTGCACACAACATGAGCTTACACTTGGGGGCAAGCAGTAATAAGCTTTGCCCTTGATGTATTATTTGGAACCAAAAGAAACATGAACATAAACATACAAAAATATAATGGCCTCACACCGGATGAATACAAAATTGAAACTTGGCACCATATGAAGTTATCTCAAACGCTTTCTTTGTAGCAATGGCAATGTTTGGCGGATCCCTCAACAACTCCTTTGCAGACCGATTTTTTCCCGTATTTGGCTATACAACAGTGACAGCAATCGTTGTTTGAACCTGTGAACGGCTCCGGCCCACACTCCTCAGAGAACACTGGATTCGTGCATCCTCTGGGGAGGCATCTACTATTGGTTCTGCGATCAGCCTCGATCTTGAGGATTTCTACATGTTGACATATTCATCAGCACAAGTTAACTAAAAGAGAACTGAAAAATATAACTAATAGAGAACTTTGTTAAATTAATTAATACCAGTGGAAGCCACCATGAGGACAAGTAAGAGAACGGTGAAGGTGACGGAGTTGAGGTTCTTGGCCATTTCTTTTTCTTTGTTTTGCTTTGCTTGCTCTTAAACTTTTTGTGAGATCTATACATATCCATAGATGTCGTGATGTATTTATAATCCAAAATTTTGTAACTTCGTTATAACTGTTTAATCTCTCCACCTTTCTTTCAGGTTTACCCAAGTTATTGATGTCGACATAATTCTGCATTGCCGTATATTTCATTAAATTGATCTTTCTGAAGTCAATTCTTTTTTTTTTTAATTGTGCACTAACTTTATATAGTTGACAAAAACAAGAAGGTCGCCGTTGTCTTGGTATCCACTTTCTCTTAAGTTTAAAAATTTTCATTGTTTTTAGATAATATCGGACGATGTTACATTGCTTAAAAGACAATTTTGTAAATATCCGGATCTTGGGATCAACATCTACGTCCCTTTACAAGAATAGCTATCATGTGGACATAGAAATGTATAATTCTTCAATCATCAATCTGTCCCTCACTCCCTCCCCTATCTCTCATTAAAGGTATTGACAGACAGATTATTAATTCCATCACAGCGAGAAGGCACAGGAAAGGTTTCAGCGACTTAATGTTACTTTGGCTTAACTGAGGTTTCAGCGACTTAATGATCTTGTTTTTTATTTTATTTTTTGCCAAGGTGCTATGTACAGGGATCAAGCTTTTGTAAGATCCAAACTTCATTTTATATGATATTTACAAGTTAGCAAGAGAATACGACACTTAGTGTCCAAGAACGTGTCATCACAGTTATGTTTAGCCAAAGTAGTTTACCAAAATCTTGTATGAAACCGAGTTTGTTGATAAAGCTCTCGCAAAGGTCAAGTTTTATTTTGATAATATGTAAGCAGATGCTCAAAAATGACAAGATAAGTACTAAGATCGAGATTGATAAGAAGTAAGCTAAGCTTTGGGATAGGAGACTTAGTATGTTTGCAGATAGCAGCCCAGAAAGTTTTTGGAAAATAGAAATTCATGATCGAAATTGTACCCTATACCGGAATAGGCATAATGTTGAACGCAAATTGTTCAGAATTCAAGTTGGCCATATTCAATATTTTGACGTGAGTTGGACAATATCATAATTAACACACGATATCATCTATATTCCTTTAAACAATTAATTACCAATGTATCCACCAATTACACTATGCACGTCTTCTAAATAACACATTCTCTTTGCTTAACTCTTGTCCCCAAAATTAAATATAAATATGCATTTTCCGGGAATTAACAACAATAAGGGGGGATACGTGATGAATTCCATTTTAAATGAAGAGAATGTGCTCACAATATGAAATATTTTTTGGGGGGGATAAATAACGGTATAAAATATGCCTGGTGTGATTATACAGTATAGGCCTAATTAAGCCTTGTGTGATTTTTGATGAGATGAATAACTTCACACCATTTGCTTAGCTTAACTTTTTATCATTTGTACCGTAAAAGAGGTAACGGCGTTGGTGTGGTGATGTAGCGTCATGGGTCGACGTCGACGTCAACCGAAGAGAAATGCTTGAGAAGTCACTTACCTCGAGTAAACTATATTAAAGCAATTATTTTTTTAGTAATTTTTTTTTTCTACGACGATTTGTGCAATTTTTTTGGGTAACAAGATATTTTTTTTATTATTCATTAAGAACAAATAAATTTATAAAAAGAGGAACAACTAACAAGGACAAAGACAAGTAGACAACGACGACCTTCTTTTTTTGTTAATTATCTAATTAGATAAGTGCATAATTAAAAAAAAATTATTGACTGGGAAATAAAAACTTAATGAAACATATATACGGCATTGCACAACTGTATGTCGACATTATGAACTTTGGGTTAAACCAGACACAAAAGCCGAGAGATTAAACAATTCTAACGAAGTTAATTACAAAATTTTGACTATCTATAAATAGATCATCACAAAAGTTAAGTTTATTGACAAGAAAAAGAAAAAGCAAGTTTAAGAAAAAGCAAAGTAAAACAACAAAGAAATGGCAAAGAACCTCAACTCCATCACCTTCACCGTTCTCTTGCTTGTCCTCATGGTGGCTTCCACTGGTATTAATTTAACAAAGTTCTCTATTAACTATATTTTGCAGTTTTCTTTTAGTTATCTTGTGCCTGATGAATATGTCAACATGTAGAAATCCTCAAGATCGAGGCTGATCAGAGAACCAATAGTAGATGCCTTCCGAGAGGATGCACGAATCCAGTGTTCTCCGAGGAGTGTGGGCCGGAGCCGTTCACAGGTTCCAACAACGATTGCTGTCACTGTTGTATAGCCAAATACGGGAGAAAATCAGTCTGCAAAGGTGTTGTTGAGGGATCCGCCAAACATTGCCATTGCTACAAAGAGAGCGTTTGAAATAACCTCATATGGTACCAAGTGTTGATTTTGTATTCGTTCGGTGTGAGGACATTACATTTGTGTATGTTTATGTTCATGTTTCTTTTGCTTCCAAATAATACACCAAGGGCAAAGCTTATCACTGCTTGCCCCCAAGTGTAAGCTCATGTTGTGTGCACTTTTGTTTCATTCTGAATACTAAGCTCTGTTTTCTGTTTGTGCTCTTCATTTCATCCCCGCTTACATTCAAACCTCTGCCACAATTGAAATTCTCTATATATGTTGACCACATCTGGAGGTATAGACTTGGAAAGTAAGATCAATGTTTAAGTGGCATGTTTCATGCTCAAAAGATTATAGATGATTATCGTGTCATTTCAATTAGAACTTTAAGTTGGATATATCATGTTGACAGTTGGTACTTGAATGCGAAAACTGACTAGGATTTTCAAATAGTGTCAAAAAATGTTCACTAGAATATATATATAATCCCTCACAGCTTATAAAAACAGAAGTATTGTAAAATTAAGACTTTAACTCCGCTAAATCACAAAGTAAAATATCATATATTTAAATATAAATCTAAATTTATTAAAACTAGTATGCAAGTAAAAATAAAATATTTAGATTCTAGAATTAACAATCTGCATAACTATCATTTATATCTATTTTATTAAAACAAAAGCACTCCTAAACTTTTTTTACAAAATTATTTATAAATAGTTTTAAAATTATCCTAATTTATTGCAATATTATTTAAAAGTATATTTTTATATATAAATTTAATTCTAAAAATTAGATATTAATTTAGATAACTAAAATTTTTCTTAAATATAGGTATATTTAATTTAAAATTCAAACAATTTAAACTTTTTGTAATTAATTTTAATTCTGAAAATAGATATTAATTTAAATGACTTTAGATTTCTTTAAACATAGGTTAGATTTAATTTAATGTTCAAAATTAAAATAATATTTTCAAAATAACATATATGATTAACAAATATGTTATTATATTTTTTAAAATTATATTCAGTCAGACTAAAAATTCATATATTGAAAATAGATAAATATTAATATTATATGGTAATTTGATAGGATGGATTATAATTTTTTTGTAATTGTGCTTTTATGCAGATTAGCTTATCAAAACATGCAAGATATTAAGATAAAATTTATTTCAAAATTAGTAAATATTTATATTATATAGTAATATAAATGAGTGGGTTAGAATTATAGTTTTATAACCACGGTCCTTTTCGGATTAGTAGAATGAGTGAGTTAGAAATATATTTTTATATAATGGTCATTTTTTTATTAATAAAATGACCGGATTAAAATTATGTTTTTATGATAGTGATCATAATATACAAGAAAAAATTTTTTAAAAAAAAGTATATCTAAACACAAAAATAAATCTTTGTCACTTATTAAAAAATTATATCTATAAAAAACATAAATTACATTACAAATTTTGATTAAAAAAAATTATGCACGAGGTAAAGTCTAGTAAATAGATTTAAAATGAAGAATCAGACCTTTCATTTAGTTATTCACACATCATGTTTTGTAATTGGCAGTTAAAAGAATTCAAAATCGATCTATATTATCGAAACCTAATAAACAATCTCTTTAAAGGAATGAATGGATTCTAAGTAAAATTTTAAATATTATACAATTTTAAATCAGTTTTTGACCCTCTAACTCAAAATCTCCTTACAAGAGTTCTGAAAGTTAGTTACATGGATCATAACCCATCTTCTTTGAAACTGTATCTTCTGTACTCAAGATTGCGTATTCTTATTAGTTTCTTGTGTAAACTCAAACTGGAATTTGTAATCTTACTTTCTGTTCGATCAAACAAATATATTTTAGTTTATTATTTTATGCTAAAAGTTATATTAACTGAGAGTTTTCAAAATATATCACCCAAATTCTGATGTTTTCATCGAGATTGTAATATTTTTCTTTCAATGGCACTGGTTTTGTGGTCTTAGACTTGAATTAACAGACTGGCTAAAAAAATAAAAATCATTTTATTACTGAATTTAGGCATTACAGTGTACAACAAACTTGCCCCTAAGGGTACCTCTAACCACTTCGCCAGAGAGGTTATGGACCGGGTGGTGATTTAATGTTTTGGTTAAGCAAACCGTCTCATGTAAGCCACGATGCTCCACGAGCTTTGTTAGTTTGTACTGAGGGAAAACGACGTAAATCTCCCTTTGAAATATCATATAGTAATAGATTCATCTAAACTTTCGACCTCGTCCTAAATTTCCATAATTTTAAATTTAAAAACGTATATAATCCCAATTGACAAATTTTAAACCTATTTACCATAACTATTGGTTTAAATGGTTTAGGAGCTTAACCCGGTACAAAAACCATTTTCTATAGCCGATCGAAATAAAAAAAACGATCAAACTTAATCTGATCCATAAAGCCGACTTGACCCATTTTTATTCTTCTTCTTCACCCGACCCATGATTATATTCTTCTTCTTCACCATAATCATTCTTCTTTTGGATCAGATAACTCAATTTCCTGCACACAAACCTCTAGAAAAATGTTCGGCAGTGTCGAAGATCATGAGAGAGGATATTGTTCAGTGGTGTAAGGATGGCCGCCGTCTTACGTCTGAAGTCTGATGAAGAAAGCTGTTTACG